TGAAAAAAAAAAAAGAATTACTTCAGAGATGCTAGCATGTCACTATATAAAATTGAAATTATTCTAAAAGTTAGTTAATGGAAACAATACAGAATGACCTAAATTAAACAAATGCTGTGGTAAAAGAACGTACACAGATTTTAAATCTGAAAAAAGAAGAAAAATTAAGCCACTGGACTTGCTACTCAACAATGAAAACAAGCCTATTTACAACTACTAGGGCATTTATATATAGCAATTACTAAAAATCAGTGAAAATTACTAGAATTCTATTTTTTTTTTAATGAAAATAACTCATTTTGAGAGTTTGTTAACAATAGTTTCCTATTCAATGGAACAATGTAATGAAACAATGAAGAAAATTTTCAAAATTTTATTAACTCTAAAAATTTCCTATTCATTAAAGAGAATACAGTACTTTTTTTGCATTTATCAAAGTCAACAAATTAGTCTATTTATTGCTTATCTCAAAGGTTGAGTCTCATGATTTCCATACTTACTTTTCCAGTTCCTCTTGTGAGTGTGCAAATGTACAGCTGGCCCCACGAGGGCATCCTCCCCTCTGCTTCATATCTCGACACATGTATGTTTTATATTTGCTATGCTGTGGAGGCTAATACCAAAATCAAAACATTAGGCATAAAACAAAACCCATCTAAACAAAAAAACAAATTTTATGCCAGTTTAGTATCTTGATAATCTAGATAAAGAACTTAGACTAAATCCCATGTTTATTTAAACTATCCAGAGCAAAAGTTCTGAAAGGTCATTCTGTTTGATGTCTCAGAAAATTCAAAAATAAATTTAAAAGTAGTCCTGAAAAAAGACACTATGATTTTTTGACACATTAATATTTATTCTCAAACATGTCTTAAACCATATAAATTACTGAGTAAATCTCAAGGAGGCTCTTAGACCTCCTTTACAAGTTTTATAACAGAACAAAACACTGGAATTTAAGACTTGCAAATGTATAAACTCTTCTAGTATCTGAGTTGTGCAGTGTTCAGTGTTAGTTACACATATAATTATTTCCTATAAAACACTACAAAAGCCTACAAAAGGTCCTATAAGTAAAGAATACCCTATAATCAATTCTTGACATGAAAAGGGCCTAAAAATTTGTGAAGGTACAAATTAAATTTATTATCCACAACTCAAGTATAAGGTAGGAGGACAGATGGAAGTTAGTGAGATGCCAAACACAACACCAAACTGAACAAATTTAGTATATTTTATGACTTTATAGCAAACCCTTGAAGGTTTGTCTCATTATTTTTGTGATACTCTTTACGATGTTGACTAGAACACAAAGTTAAAAATTTTAGGTTTTTCCTTCCTTTATTTTTGCGGTTATTGGGGGTTTGAACCCAGTGAGTGCCTTGTGATGGCTAAGCAGGCACTCTACCACTTGAGTCTCTCCACTAGTCCTCCCCTTTATTTCTTAATCATAAAATAAAGTCCTGTTCTATGTTTAGACTAATTAGGAAAAATCATATCCAGATTAATCTACTTTTTAGTAGGATTTTTAAAAATATTTCCTGCCTTACCAGGTGATCGATTATTAATATTTACCTAAGCTAGGTAAATTAGTAACAGAGTTCTAAGTTCACAGGCTTACACTGCAAAGTGAAAGCTCGAATGAATCTAAAATCTAAATCCTGAAGATAAAATTTAAAGTTCTAGCCCAAACATATAATTTTTATTTTTAACTGGGGTTGTGAACTCAGGGCCTCACCCTTGCTAGGCAGGCATTCTACCACTTGAGTCACTCTGCCAGCTTCCAGCCCACTGTCACAGATTTCATTTTTCTTTTTATTTACTTATTTTTTAGGGTGCAGTACTGTGCTTTGAACTCAGGGCCTCATACTAGGCTCTATCACTTGAGCCACTCTGCCAGCCCCAAATATTTCATTTTTAAAAACTGAGAAAGAGGGCCAGGTGTGGTGGTACATGTCTATAATCCCAGCTTTGTGGGAGGTGTAGGTAAAAGGATCTCAGTCTAAAGCCAGCTTGGGCAGAAGATGGTAGATTCTATCAGAAAAATAAAGGTAAAAGGATTGCAGAGATGGCTCAATTTGTAGAACTCCTGCCTAGCAAGCAGGAGGCCCTGAGTTTAACTCTAGTACACCCTTACCTCCCCACCCCGCCCCCCAAAAAAAGAGAAGATTTGATACACATTATGAACGAAAAACCTTAAAATACTAATACAGAAGGACTGGGAGCATGACTAAAGTGATAAGAGTCCTTACATAGCAAGCATAAGGCTCTGAGTTCAATCTTTAGTCACACATACACACACACACACACACACGAAAAAAAAACTGGGCTGGGGTATGGCTCAAGTTCAGGCCTTTAGGTTACCCCCCACCCAAAAAAGAAAAAAAATCTATACAAATTTAAGCAATGTTGGAAATACAGCCTCAGTATTAAGAAATAACATCTATTGTCAAATTGAAATATAATAAAGTAAGAGAATAATCTTTTAAAAATGGAATAAACTTTATCACAGAATCCAATTTCTCCATCAAATGCTGCTACATCCAGTGTGGAAAGAGACTGCAGTACAACAACTTAAGCTCAATAATGATTATTTATTTATTTATTGCTGTACTGGGGTTTGAAATCAGGACCTATACCTTGAGTCACTCCTCCAGCCCTTTTTTGTGATAGGTTTTTTCAAAACAGGGTCTAGAGAACTATTTGCCTGGGCTGGCTTCAAACCTTGATCCTCCTAGTCTCTACTCCTGAGCAACTAGGATGACAGCCGTGAGCCACCAGCACCCAGCATGATTATTTTAATGTCAGAGAAAATTACTAGGCAAAACCAGTACATTGGCTGCTATCCATGATAATTTAGTTTCAATAGTCAGAGTCTCAAAATACCTTGTCAATTTCTTTGGCTTTTCACCTGTAGGTATACCCATAGTGGCTTACCTATAAATTTCAAACTGTTCCCCCTTACCTGCTGTTGATCTGCTCCTTTTTTGCTGTGGTTCTGGATATAATCCACCAGCCCATGTACCACTGTACGCACAGCAACCAGTCCATTTTCCAGCTGTTCCCAAGTAGGAGGAGGAGCATCTGTATAATAATTTTTTGAAGTATTTTAATGTTATTATCTTGCCCAATATTAAACTAGTAAAGGACTTAGTGCCAGCACTTCAGTATAATCAAGTTAAGTATTATACTGCTTTTCAAACAATAACATATTCAACTAACCATCATTTTAAAGGAACAGACATATTCTTTAAAAGCTGGGGTTGCAAACTAAACCACAGAGAAAAGGAAAGTAATAAAGTAATTAAGTCAGTCAGACAATAATGGTAACTGTCATTAGACCATGAGTACTGAAGAGAGAACAGAGTGACATGGACTATGTTGAACTGAAGAGCTTCTCTTACCAAAGGGTGTGGTTATCACTCAGCTTTAGTTGGATGTCATTATGTGAAGATGAAAGGCTGGCCCACTAGATACAACACTGTTTCTTGGGGACACATGAAATCTGAGATTCTTAAGTAAAATTAATCACTTGTTTCATTTGTTGTTGTTTTTATGATGCTCAGGATTAAACCCATTTGCACATACTAAGCAAGAAGTTTACCAAAGAGCTATACTTCCTACCAAAATTTAAGTTTTCAAGTGTTGGCACCTAACAAATTTAAACAGTGTTACACAGCCCAACACTGTGTGGACCACACAAAACTTAACTGTGGCCTATCTACAGTCAGCAAAATTGTACATTTATTTTGATGTTTCATATAAACTAGATACCAGTAAACAGAAAATTTAATAAAGTTTAATAGAGTAGCTATATAAAGCCACTCTGCTGTAAATCTACTTCATTTAGTGTTTGCCAACATTGTGATGTAATTTTAGTATGGAAAAATTAACCACAATGCTAAATATGAAATAATCACCAGGAAAGACTTCTAGATGACGACATGTGAACTGGGCTTTGGACACATGAGATTATATTGGGAATGGGTATCAATATAAAAGAAAAGAAGTGTAAGGAATAAAGTCTGAAATGCTCCAAAGACTATGGAGATGTGAAGTAACAAAAGGGCACTGAGGGGTATCTAATAAAATAAGGGAATTAGGAGAATGTGGTAGCTGCAAGCAAAGAAAAATCATTTTAAAGAAGACAGAGTAAAACGGCAATGCTGCCAAATGCTACTGACAGGTCAAATACAAGGAGCCCTGAGAACCTATGGAATTGGCTATAAGGAAGGCACTTGTAACCTCAACAAAATAAATCTGGATAGACTGGTAGAGGATAAATGACTGACTGGAGTGAGTTCAAGACAGTGTCATTAGAACTGGGGATGTACCTCAGTGCTTACGTGCAAGAGGATACTTATTGAAATAAGATATGAAGAATGCAAAAATGGAATCAAGGAAATGGAAGTAAGGAAATACAGAAAAAAATGAGAAAAACTTGTGTTCTGACAGAGAGGTGAGAAAGGTAAAATAAAGCACAATTTTGTGATAGGAGAAAGGGAAAATATAAAGGAGCTCAGAGATATCTATTTTCCTAGTGAGGTCAACAGCAAAATATATAAAAGTATTAAATAAATATTAATAAATGTTAATGAGCTAAAGAGGGATAAGATTTGTAGGAAAATACTATATAAAAGATCTGGAAAAACTACTCTGGGAAATTCTACAGCAATATAGCAAAACTAATTAATCACTGAGCAACACTTAGGGGACACATAAGACAGTCCATTAATTTCCCTTGGGTTTACCTGGACTAGGGTCAATGTTTGCTAATAGCTCCAAATGGGGTCTTAGTCGGTTCAAGTTTGCTGGATCTCCAGTCCGCTGCAGAGCAATTGTTAGTTCCTGAACACTCTGTGCAAAAGAAGCTGGGGTCTGTAACTTAAAAAAAAAAAAAAAAAAAGGTAAAAATTGTTATAAATAATAACTTCATGATCATTTCTGTAATTTTATTAAATTTAGTTTGTATCCACTCACACATCCTACCTATGCTCTGTCCAGACTGAATTACCTTCCAAATAACCGAACTTTGAAAATACAATCTGGAGATACTTCTATACTACATCAAGAATGACTGCACTAAGCTCAGTCAAGTTAAAAGAGATCAAAGAATAGAACAATGAATAGAAACCTCACACATTCAATCTGAAGTGCATCTTCACATTAAGTGATCTAAATAATTTTGAAAGTCTACTTCAGCTCAAAAATTTCTGTGTATAGCTAGCAAATATTTTCTCCCACTCTGTGGGTGGTCTCTTTAGTTTAGAGACCATTTCTTTTGTTGTGCAGAAGCTTTTTAATTTTATGAAGTCCCATTTGTCCATCCTTTCTCTTAGATGCTGGGGTGCTGGGGCTCTATTGAGGAAGTCCTTCCCTATACCTGTTAGTTTCAGAGTGTTTCCTGCTCCTTCCTTCAGAGTTTCGGGTCTGAAACTCTTGAGTTGATACTAGTACTGGGTGACAGACATGGATCTAGTTTTAGTTTCTTGCAGATGGATAACCACTTTTCCCAGCAGCATTTGTTGGAGAGGCTGTCTTTTTCTCCATCGTATATTTTTGACCCCTTTGTCAAAAATAAGGTGGGTATAGTTGTGTGGATTCATATCCGGGTCCTCTATTCTGTTCCACTAGAGAACATCATTCTGAGCGAGGTTAGCCACACTCAGAAGACCAAAAATCGTATGTTCTCCCTCATATGCAGTCTTTAGATCTAGGGGAAATACAGCAACGTTGTAGGACTTGGGTTACAGGACAAGGGGAGAACACATACGGGAGGTATGCGGTTAGATAGAAAACCCAAAACATGAAAGCATTTGATGTTCCCACACCAGAGGAATTAATACAGAAACCTTAAAGCGACAGAGGTCAACACGAAAAGGGGATCAGGAACCAGTGTAAAGATCAGTTAGAGATGAATCAACCTGGGTTGTAACACATTTGTACATGAAAGCAATGCTAGGAATCTCTCTGTATAGCTGTCCTTATCTCAACTAACAAAAATGATACGTCTTTCTCTATTATTGCTTATTTCTACTCTTCAACGGAACTGAAGAAAAGCACAGAACAGGTTCTGCCTGGAAGCGAGGAGAGAGCGGGAGAGGGTGGAGGTGGGGGGTGGGGGCAGAAATGACCCAAACAATGTATGCACATATGTACATATGAATAAATGAATAATAAAAAAAAATACCACCAAAAAAAAATTTGTTTGGAATTCTTGGAAGGAACAGGTTATGTATTATTGCTCCAAGGCTTAATGAGACACATACTCATATTTATTCCTCAGCTGGCCATATATGCCACCTTTAACTGGAAAAGAAGCTGATTTTGTGACAATAAAAACCTTAAGTGTTTGTGTGTGTGTGTGTGTGTGTGTGTGTGTGTGTGTGCGTGCGTGTGTGTGGTACTTGGATTTGAATTCAGGGCTTCACTTTAATTTATTAGGATTAGTGCTTTTCTTGTCACTTCTAATTAATTCTCAAATTGAATTGTCCAATGGTAGCCTCAGCAAAGTATGGTTGTTTAAATTTAAATTAATTAAATAAAATAAAAATTTCAGTTCAACAGTTACACCTTACATCTAAAATGTTTAATGGTGGCTAGGGATGTAGCTCAGTGGTAGAGCATTTGCTCATCATGTGTGACACTCTAGGTTCAATCCCCAGAATCACCAAGAAAAAAAAAAACAAACTCAAAACAAAACAAAACAAAATTCAACATATGGATCTTACAGATGATTAAAAGGCTGCTATGGGAAAACAATACAGGCATACAGAAATACAATTTAAATAAGAGAATCATCAAAACTCAAACAGAACAAGAAAGGGAGAGAGGCAGTGATAAAAATAGACAGGAGACCCTCAAAAGAATGTGGGAGAGCACTAGATAAAGCATTATAACTCTAATCAAGTATTTATACATAAACAAACTAGCACTCTGATATTACTAGCTATGACGTGACACTCAGCCACAGCAAATTCAACTTTCAAAAGCCTGACAGAATTCACTTTAAAATTACTTGTTAAACAAAAGAACTACTCCATCACAAATTATCAAAACCCCAAGATTAGTCTAAGAAGTTAAAGGACAAAAAAGGCTCTACCTTGTCAATAATGGACTGCATATGAGATTTGTGAGACTGGTCTCCATAAAGCAAAGAGGACCATTGGTCTGGTGCAATTCTTAAGCCCGCTTCCATAGCAATCTGTACTATCTGGGAATCATGTTCTCGTCGCAGAGCTTCATAGGTTCTAAATTCCTCTTTCAGCTGCATCAAGGAAGAGTCTTCATCACGTTTGGTGACCTAATAAGATAAAAAAAATCTCATAATGAGGTTTAAAAAAATAGTAAGTTTATACTTTGTGTAAGTACATATAAACAACATAATTTTAAATGCAACATTTTTTAAAGCAACAATAGCAAGATAAAAATGGGATTATACCATTCTGTCTGTGTAATATCTCCCATTATCTGATAATGGGATCTTTTTTTGAACTCAGGGTCTTGTGCATTCTTCTAGGCAAGTGTTCTACTTGAACCAAGTCTCCAGTCTCTGGATAGGGTTTTTTTTTTTTTGGTTTTTTGTTTTTTTTGGTGGTACTTGGTTCTCCTCTGGAGGACTCAGGTCCTCATGCTTGCTAGGCAGGTACTCTATACCACTTGGCCATTCGACCAGCCCTGTTTTGTGCTGCCATTTTCAAGATAGGGTCTTATGAACTATTTACTGGGGCTGGTTTCAAACTGTGATCCTCCTGATCTCTGTTTTCCAACAGCTAGGATTATAGGTATGAGTCACTGGCACCTGGCTCCCTTGGTAGGTCTTATAGAAAAAAATAAACATGTGTGGGAATGAAATTCAAAGACTCAGTTGAACTTAATACTTGTACACAGTTTAAAGTTTATGTGTGCTATGCATGTTTAAAAAGAAGTAAATAGTTATATGGGTACAATTATTTGAAAACACAGTGCATGTTTCTTCTCCATAAACGTAGATCATGACTCTACGGCTTGGCTGGCATTGAGCTACCTGGTATTGATCACTGAAGAACTTCAGATGCTGGTGTGATTCTAAAGATGACTAATTTGTACCAGATTTAATTTCTCCATGGAGTTTTCTAAAACAGGCCACTACCAGAAAGTGTAAAGTTTGAGATGTGGGACATTCAAGGGTGAATGTTAAGACTAGCAGGGGAAATAACATTTGAATCTCCCCCCAAAAACAACCTGTTTGCACATAATGCTGCAGCTCTTGTGGTTCCATGCATCTTGCAAAGAGGGGAAGAGGAGATAATCCATTCCAACAAGTTCTGAAGGCATGCACAATGTAGCCCACCTGTCAGCTTTAGTAAGCTTTTAGGTGTTTTTTTTCCTAATTAAAACTTCACAAATATTACTTGCATCTCATGCATACAATTATAACAGTGAATTATGGGTAGCAACATGTACAGTCAGGAATAAGTTATATAACATCTGGCTGTCAATCACACTAGCCTCACCTAAAGACATGTTCAAGTTTTACCCTCCAGCTTGATCAAAGCCACATAAAAGGCAGATAGACCCCAGACAATCAGGGCACTTGAGCTGCTGTTCCTCCCTTATGGGCACTACTTTCATTTTCAATAAACCTGGCTGCTTTGATATGCATTCCTTATCTCTGGGATCAGTTCTTTGATTGTGACCCCAGACAAGAACCTGACATGATCCCTGGCCCACTGGTAACAGGACTAGAAAAGTAACGATAATAATACCTTTTAATAATGTATTCCATTCTTTTTACAAAGAAAGAAGGTCCAACTTACATTTTGTTAGGTAAGTCCATTGAAAGACCAAACAGATAAAAATCAAGAATTAAATTACACTTTGCTATTATGCAAAGACAGGTAAAGATTAAATGTATGCGTATACCTATGAAAGCATCCTCTCAATATAAGCTAAATCTCATTACAAAGAATACAAGAAAGAGTATGTTTTCTACATATATATTGGTTTCCCACATTTGGCACTCAACATTAAAAGCAAGAGAATGTGGGGTGAGATCTTCCGGGCACTGAATGAAAATAACTTCAACCCCAGGATACTCTACCCAGCAAAACTATCATTCAAAATAGATGGAGCAATAAAAGTCTTCCATGATAAGCAGAAACTAAAACAATATGTGACCACAAAGCCACCACTACAAAAGATTCTTCAAGGGATTCTGCACACAGAAAGTAAGACCCAACATAACCATGAAAGGACAGGTAGCACCAAACCACAGGAAAAGCAAGACAGCAGAGAGCAACTTCAACTTAGGTACACACAATCAAACCTTCAAACAACTAAGACAACTAAATGACAGGAATCACCATACACCTATCAGTACTAACACTTAATGTTAACGGGCTTAATTCACCCATCAAAAGGCACCATTTGACGAAATGGATTAAAAAGGAAGATCCAAATATTTGTTGCTTACAGGAGACCCATCTCACCAAAAGAAATAAGCATAGGCTTAGGATGAAAGGCTGGAAGATTTACCAAGCAAATAGCCCACCAAAACAGGCAGGAGTAGCAATACTTACCTCTGACAAAGTAGACTTCAAACCTACATTGATCAAATGAAATAAAGAAGGACATTCCATACTAATAAAAGGGGAAATAGCACGCTGAAGGAAATAAATAATTATCACCTATCATACATCAATTTTCATCAAACATATCCTGAAAGACTAAAAGCATATATAACTCAACAACAGTTGTTGTGGGAGACTTTAACACTCATTATCATCAATAGATAGGTCATCCGAACAAAAAAAATCAATAAATACAATCCAAGGCTCTAAAATAATACAATAGATTAATGGACCTAAACTTGATGTCTACAGAAATTTCATCAAACTTCCACAAATATTACATTCTTCTCAGCAGCCCATGGAACCTTCTCTAAAATAGATCATATCCTAGGCACAAAGCAAGCCTCAGCAAATATAAGAAAACAGAAATTATAACCACATGCTTCTATCTGATCACAATGCCAATAAAACTAAGAACTCAACAACAAAAACAAAACAAAAAATGTGCAAAACAAGCTGAAAACTGAAATAACTCAGTTACTTAATGAACATGGGTCATTGATGAAATAAGAGGAAATTAAAAGTTCCTGAAAGTCAATGAAAATGAAACACAACCTACCAGAAACTATGGGACATGGCAAAACGCAAGTCTGAAGAGGAAAAGTTTATAGCCATGTAGTGCAAATATAATTAAAAAGACTGAAAGATCCCATCAATGACCTAATGATACTCTCCAACTCCTAGAAAAACAAGAACAAGCAAAATCCGCAAAACAAATAACGAAGAGAAACAAAAAAAAAGAGCTGAAATCAATGAAATAGAAACCAAAAAAACATACAAGAAATTAATAAAACAAAAGTTGGTTCTTTGAAAAAATAAACAAGATCAACAGACCCTGGCAAACCTGACTCAACTGAGGAGAGAAAAAACCCAAATTAGTAGAATCAGGAATGCAAAAGGGGAGATAAAAACACAAACACCATGGAAGTCCAGAAATCATCAGAGACTACTTTGAGAACCTATATTCAAATAAATTTGAAAATCTAAAGAAATAGACAGATTTCTAGATCATATGACATCCAAAACTGAATCAAGAGGAAATTAATCACTTGAATAGATCTATAACACAAAATGAAATGAAGCAGCAACAAGAGTCTCCCAAAAGAAAAGTATAGGACCTGATGAATTCTCTGCTGAATTCTATCAGACCTTTAAAGAAGCACTGATACCAACCCTCCTAAACTGTTCCAACAAAATAGAAAGGAAGGAAACTGCCTAACACATTTTATGAAGCCAGTATTAACACTGATCCCAAAACCAGGCAAAGACACTCCAAAAAGGAGAATACTAGGCCAATCTCCTTAATGAACATTGACGCAAAAATCCTCAACAAAATAATGGCAAACCGAATTCACAACACATCAAAAAGATTATTCGCCACAACGCAGGTAGGCTTCATCCCAGGGATGCAGGGGTGGTTCAACATACTGAAAATCAATAAACATAATAAACACATTACAGAAGCAAAGACAAAAACCACTTGATCATCTCAATAGATGCAGAAAACAGCCTTTCGATAAAGTATCCAACATCCATTTCATGAAAAAAAGCTCTAAGAAAACTGAGAAATGGAAAGAAAGTTCCTCAACATTAATAAAAAGCTTATATGACAAACCTACAGCTAGCATTAATACTTAATGGAGAAAAAAAAAGAAACCATTCCCTCTAAAATCAGGAACGCGGACAGGATGCCCACTATTCTACTCCTATTCAACATAGTACTGGAATTCCTAGACAGAGCAATTAGGCAAGGAAGAAGGAATAATACGGAATGGAATACAAATAGGTAAGAAACTGTCAAAATATCCCATATTGCAAATGACATGATCCTATACCTTAAAGGCCCAAAAAACTCTACTCAGACTCCTAGACAGCCTGAAGAGCTCAAGCAAGGTAGCAGGATATAAAATCAACATAGAAAAATCATTAGCATTTCTATACCACTAATAATAAAGCAAACTGAAAAAGCAAATATATGAAAACAATTCCATTACAATAGCCTAAAAAAAAAATCACTACTAGGTGTAAACCTACACAAAAGATGTGAATGACCTCTACAGGAAAACTATAAACTTCCGAACAAGAGATTGCGGAAGACTAAGAAAGTGGAGAGATCTCCATGCTCATGGATTGGTAGAATCACATAGTAAATGTCTATACTCCCAAAAAGTAATCTACATGTTTAATGCAATTCCCATCAAAATTCCAAATGACATACATTAAAGATTGAAAAATCTACCGTGAAATTATATGGAAACACAAGAGGCCACGAATAGCCAAGGAACCCTCTTACACTGTTGGTGGTAATGTAAGCTAGTACAACCACTCTGGAAAAAAAATTGGAGGCTACTTAAAAAGCTAAACATGAATCTACCATTTGATCCAGCAATACCACTCTTGAGGATCTACCCAAAAGACTGTGACACAGGTTACTCCAGAGGAACCTGCACAACCCATGTTTATTGTGGCCTATTCACGAATAGCCCAAGTTATGGAAACACGCCCCAGATGCCCCCACCACTATGAATGGATCAAGAAAATGTGGTATCTATACAATGGAATTTCTATGCAGCCCATGAAGAAGACGAAGTGTTATCATTTGGCTGGTAAATGGGATGGAACTGGAGAACATCATTCTGAGGGAGGTTAGCCTGCCATAAGACCAAAAATCTATTGTCTCCCTCACAATGTGGACATTAGATCAAGGGCAAACACAACAAGGGGATTGGACTTTGAGCACATGATAAAAGTAGAGCACACAGGGAGGGTGAGGATAGGTAAGACAACTAAAAAATTAGCTAGTCATTTGTTGCCCTCAACCGCAGAGAACGAAGCAAGATACCTTAAAAGCAACTGAGGCGCAATAGCGAGAAAGGGACCAGGACTCAGAAGAAAAGGTTAGATCAAAAAGAATTAACTAGAAGGTAACACACATACACAGGAAATCAATGCGAGTCAACTCCCTGTATAGCTATCCTTATCTCAACTAGCAAAAACCCTTGTTCCTTCCTATTACTGCTTATACTCTCTCTTCAACAAAATTAGAGATAAGGGCAAAATAGTTTCTGCTGGGTATCCAGGGGGTGGGGGGGGAGAGGGAGGGGGTGGAGTGGTTCGTAAGGGAGGGGGTGGGGGCAGGGGGGAGAAATGACCCAAGCATTGTATGCACATATGAATAATAAAAAAATAAAAAAACAAAAAACAAAAAAAAAATGCATTTTCTTATAGTTAGCAGACTATGAAGTACTGGTATGGGTTATGTCAGAACTCCTGACTTGAAGAAGTCAGGAAAACAAAACAGGAAAAACAATAAATGATACAGAGCTGTTCAATCTGGGATACAAGAGAATACATTCAGTATTACCACATATGCTAAAACTGAAATGGCAACTGAAGCTCTAGTACTATGTACATAAAACAACTCTCCAAATAAAACTTATTCCTGCTTCAATGACTCTCTCTTCAGACCAATTCTGCTTACAGGCTTAGTGGAAACACACAAAGCTTACTAGTTTCTTCAAATAAATTTAGGTTAGGGATGTAGTTCTGTGCTAGAGTGTTTGCCTAACGTGTGAGGCCCTGGGTTCAATCCTCATCACTGCAAATAAACAACTCCCCCAAACCCAGCAATATATAGGATTTATTTAGAAAAGTATACAATCTACATTCTTCTTCTTCTTTTTTCTTTTTTTTTTTTCTCCAGTACTGGGGTTTAAACCCCATGCTTGCTAGGCAAGTGCTCTACCATTTAAGCCACAACCCCAGCCCTTTTTGGCTTCATTTTTTCAGGTAAGGTCCCACATTTTTGCCCCAAGCTTTCCTCAGATTATGATTCTCCTACCTACAGCCTCCCATATACTGGAATCACAGGCAAGTGCCACTACATCCAGCTTATTGATAGAGATGGAGGGGGGAGGAAGGGCCTGACTAACTTTTTGCCCAGGCTCGCCTCAAACAGTGATCCTCCTGATTTCTGACTTCCTTCAAAGTAGCTGGGAATACAGGCAGGAATCATCATACCTGGTCCACAATCAACATTCTTCAAAAAAGAAAAATTGCTGAGACTTTCCGAAAAGGAATTTTTTTATGTTTAGGAAAAGGATGTTTCCTTTCAAGATGAATGGTTAAGTTCATACCTTGAAGCAGGAGGCTCTATAAAGGAGCTGAACAACATGCCCAATGCTAGTTTTAGAGGCTTGAGGAAACCGGGGCTCCAATCTTTGCACCACAAAGAGAACCAACACTTTTCGTGACAAAGCAGAACCGTCTTCCAAGGCCAGCAGAACCAGTTTTAGTGCTTCCTCCTGCATTGCTAGGAAAGGTTGATTAAAAACAAAATTTGTTATGTGCAGATATAAATCCATTTATTAAAAGAGCAACATACAATAATTTCTGCAGACATCACTCAATTAACAGACAACACAATAAAAGACATTTACAACTATACTTATAAATCATGTGGGCATCTTGTCTTATATTCTATATATTTTATTAAGAAAGTAGAATTGACAAATACGTTTCTCTCAAAATGGATACATTTTTGGCATAAAGCAAAAATTTTTAAGATCTCTGAAAAACTAACAAATCTAAAATTACTCAAGCCAAGACTGTCAAGTGAAATGGTACTTGATATCACAGTATCACAAAGATCTAGCCTTTTGTACATCACTTAGACTTCTTATAGTAGACTTTAAAAATTACTAGTAGAATAAATAGGAAATCTTAATTATATACCTGGTCCAAGGAACTGACAGCCCCTAGCCCTCACTGCTGCCCAAAGATTAGAAGAAAGTTGTTGAGGATTCTGGTGCTGGAGAATGAGTTCTGTAACTGTTCGTTCCCCTAAAGATCGAGCAGCCCTCATGGCACGAATCCTGCCTTCTTCTTCCACTAGTTGGCAGTGGACCAGAGTCACAAGCTTCCTCTGCATTGGGCGACTCAGAACACTCTGAGTAGTGCTATTCAGACCAACTCCTTTGGAAGAGAATTAAAGAAGTTATTTCTGGATTCACAGCGTAATTTTACAATCTAGGAGTATTTCCTTTGATGTGCTGGTTGACTTCTGAATATGTGAATAGTTCTGGTTCCTATTACAATATTTAAAATAAACAATAAAACTACAAAAGTGAAGTCTAGTTAGCATTTTTACAGTATACAAATAAATGTATCTCATGTAAATTTACCATTCATCATGACATTCAAAATATTTTTTCCCTCTTTATTTGCTGCACTGGGGAATAAACCCATGCTTCCCACTAGCAAAACAGGTGCTCTACCACTTGAGCCACACCTCCAGTTCATTTTGCTCTGGTTATTTTTGAGATGATCTTGAGAACAACTTGTTTGAGCTGGCCTCAAATTTCTACCCTACTGATTTCAACCTCCCAAGTAGCTAGGATTTTAGGAATGAGCCATTGGGGTCCAGCAAACCAATAGTCTCAAGTATGCGAGGCAAGCGCTCTACCACTTGAGCACCAAGTGTCCAGCTTTTTTTTTTTTTTTTTTTTGTGGTACTAGGGCTTGAATTCAGGGCCTACACATTGAGCCACTCCACCAGCCCTTCTTTGTGTCAGGTTTTTTCAAGGTAGGATTCTCACAAACTATTTTCCCAAGCTGGCTTTGAATCACAATCCTTCTGATCTCTGCCTCCTGAGTAGCTAGGATTATAGGTGTGAGCCACCAGCACCTGGCTGGCTCTTTTCTTTTTATATAAGGTCTTGCTAACCTTGCCCAGGTGGCCTCATACTCTCAGTCCTCCTGCCTGCATGAGTAGCTAAGATTACAAGGCATGTGCCACCACACCTAGATCCATTATTCATTTTAATCATGGAGGAAAAAGAAAACAAGGGTATAAGTTTTAGCAATTAGTTTTTAAGATCCAAATCTTGAGGTTGTAACAGTTCTGGTATATTATTTCATAGTGGTTATTTTTACTTATATAATTAAACAGCAAGCCCTGTCTGTGAGATGACAACTTAGATTTTTATTATATCTCCCATACACATCTAAAACTAGATTATTCAAAGTTGATGGAAAGCCTTTCATCACTAGTGTACTTATGCTTACTTCTGCAGTCATTCATGTTTCCAACATCACATAAACTCTAAATTCAGTACTTTATTTAATCTTGTTTGTAATATTACTTAGCATGAAGGTTTGGTTTACAATAAATAAATGAATCTCATCAGCATTCACTAAGGCTGGAGCTATAGCTCAGTGATAAAGTGCTTGTCTAGCATGAACAAGGTCTTGGGTTCAGTTCCTAGCACTGCCAATAAAATAAGTATTCTAGCACTCACTGATAGTTTGCAATTTTTATGGTAACAAAAGTATCTTTTTTTATATAGGGAGGTTGCGTTGTGATAGTTCCATACATGTGTACAGTATACTTGGAACAAGTTCATCCCCTCCTTTATGTTCCCTTCCCATCCTCTCTCTCCAGAGGAAGTATCTTTAAGAGATGTTTGTTTGGCATGGACAAGTATAATCAGATTTACCTCTAGCACTGCTGAGGGGTTTCAGGTACAATGCTAATTCTTCTACACATTTCTTGGCCTCCTCATAATGCTTTGTATCTTCAACCCCACTACACAAAGTAATGGGCTGCTGCTCAGGAACCTAGAGGCCAAAAGAAAAGTTCTCCATGTTCATTAATGAATTAAGCAAATGTTTTATTGAGTCAAGTTTATGCATTGACAACTCTTAATGCTCACATCAAAATTCCTACTAAATTTACTGAACCATTTCAAAAGATCTTTCCTAAATACATACATCTATTGCCTTCTTCCCTTCCCTTCTCTTTCTGTGGCAGTAGTGGGGTTTGAACTGAGGGTCTCAGG